AGGGGCGAGGGCGTTAGGGGGAACTCCCCCTCAGCGGAGTGGGGGCAACCAGGGTCCTTGTCCCCTCGGGACCCAGGTTCCTCTGCCTGTCGAGAGGGCCCTTCTCGTGGTGGCCCTGCCCGCTCCCAAGGCTTGGGCATCCAGCGCAGGGCATCCGGGGGAGAGGCCTGCTGGTAAAGGTCGATGCCCTGGGTGCGGAAGACACTGCTGTAGGTGGAGGGCTGGGCCTTGAGATGGGAATTCAGGCCCGAGAAGGACCTTCCGGCTGGGGGAGTCCGTGAAGACCCAGGCCCTCCAAGGCTGCTGTTCAGTTTTCGATAATCCTGGAACGGCTTCAGTTCCACTGGGTGCAGCTCTGCTCGCCCCAAGCTAGCAGGGAAGGGCCTGGCAGGTGAAGGCAGCACCCTAGTAGCAGGAGCAGGTGGAGGCCGCACAGCCAGGCTGGGGGGTTGCAAAGCTGGGCCCACAGGGAGGAAAGAGAGGGGTGGGGGTGAGGGGGAGGGCAGGAGGTGGTGCTGGCGGCAGAGAGCCGAAGTTCATCACAGGCAGCTGTGAATCCAGCACGGGCAGAAGCACCTGCAGCAAGGGTGGGTCTGGCAGAGGGCTAGGGCAGAAAGCTGGAGAACAGAGAAAGGAAGAGGGTGGATAGAGCACCCCTCCAGCCGGCAACTTCCCCAGTTCTGTTGCTTGCAATGCTGAGAAATCCAGAAACTGGCCCTTGAGGGCTACCCCAGAGAGCAATGCTGAGGGAGGGGCTGGGCCTGGGGGCAAGTACAGGGGCTGTGGCCTGTAAGGGTGCAGTGAGGGGGTCCCAGGGCGGAAGCCCCCCTGGTTAGGATGTAACTGCGAGACTGTGGCTCCCCCCGGCACCTGAGAACCAGGAGGCCCAGGGCTGCCATAGAAGACCTCAGGGTAGAGGCGCGGGCCTAAAGAGCTGGGCTTTGGGCCCCGACGCCATTTAAAAAAAATCTCTTTTCTTGGTCTTGCCCCACATTACACCTCAGATTAGAACATGTTTTATTCTTTTATATATACAGATAATGAAGTCCACACCCTCTATCTTTCTTTAGTCCTCCCTGGCATACAAAGGATCTCTGGTGGTGCAGAGAGCTAAGCATTGAGCTGTTAACCACAAGGTTGGAGGATTGAACCTACCGGCCACTCTTAGGGAGACAGATGGGACTTTGGCTCCCATAAAGATTTACAGTCTCAGAAACTCTATGAAGTCGTTCAACTCTGTCCTACAGACTCGATAGTAGTGAATTTGACTTTTGGGGTTTAAAAAATATATAATCACTACTGGTAGGCAGCTTATTATCATAATGTTATGTAACCATCACCACAATCTAATTCCAAAACATTTTCACCACCTCTAGAGGAGACATGTACCCATGAAGCAGTCACTTCCCATTCCCACCCCTCCACATCCACTAATCTGCTTTATACCTCTGGGGATTTGCCTACTCTTGACTTGTCATATAAATGGAATCATAAAAATGCCACATAAATTGAATCATACACCTTTTGTGTCTGGTGTCTTTGACTTGACAATGTTTTGGAGGTTCATCCACGTTGTGGCATGCATCAGAACATCTTTCCTCCTTATGGATGAATGATATTCCATTGTTTGGATGTAACACATTGGGTTTTCCATTCATCTGTTGAAAGATATCTGGATGGCTTCCACCTGTTGGCTGTGTGAATTGTGCTGCTGTGAGCATTTGTATACAGTATTTGAATAGCCGTTTTCTTTTCTTTGGGGCATACGTCAAAGAGTGGAATTGCTGGTTGATGGGTAGTTCCCTGGTTAACTTTTAATGTAACTTTTACTTATTTAGCACCAAATATTTTCCACAGTAGCTATACCATTTTGCAATCCTACCAGCAATGCATGACATGAGGGTTCTCATTCCTCACCATTTTTACCAATGTTGGTTCTTAGTGCCAACCTGGTTTTCTGAGTCTCCCACATTTCCTGCCCCTGGCAGGTGCACTCTTTCCAGTTTTCCATCATTCTCTGTTGGTGACAAAAATCTGGCAGGTCTCTGCCTTACACTGGTTCCAGCCTCAGGGGTTACTGTATTATTTCTATTACAGGTACCCTAGTGGGTGGGAAGTGGTGGCTCTTTGTGGTTCTGGTCTACAGTTTCCTAGTGAGAAGACACTGAGCACCTTGTTGTATCTCTTCTTTGGAGAATGTCCATTCAATTCCTTTGCCCATTCCCCCCATTGGGTGCTTTTCCTTTCTGTGGTTGAGTTGTAACAGTTCCTTATCTATTCTGGATACTAGACTCTCAGCAGATGTATGATTCGCATTAAGTCATTTCTCACGTAGGAAGAAGAGTTAAATTTGTCTCCCCTGTTTTTTGACAGTAGACCGACATTTGGTGCAACTGAATTCCTCTGCAGCAGAATTCACCCTGTGCCAGGACAACCGGTCACACTTTCCATCCCTGATGACGTGGCTGGCATGGGCTTGTTGGGCGAGCTGATACTGATGCCAGTGGCTGCTCTGTGTTCCTGCCTGGAGGCCTCTTCCAACCAGATGGACAGGATTTCTTCAGTTTCCATATCCTTTGGATCATAAAGTCTTTCCAACTGTCTTTAAAAGGGGGATTTTATACCAACATTCAAAGAAAGCCTTCAGCATATGAGCTCTGGGTCCCGAAGCACACAGCCAGGACCCAAGTGTCTCCCACTGATTTACAGACTGTTTTCTGTTACTTCTGCAACTTCTTGTTGCAATTGAGGAACATAATGCTCTTTCCTCTGATTTTATTAGGTTTGAGAAAGCTAGGTGTTTCTCACAGGGTAGGAGTTTTACTTCTAAAACATTTGGGAGAACAAAGTTCTAGCCTTATTTCCAATGGGATAAAATGAGATTCAGAGCAAGTGAGGCACAGAAAGTTTGTTGCTCAGTGACTCCTCTGTGACCTTCATTGTTCACCAGCTTGGGGTCGCTGGACCCCAAGGGCTCTTGTACACGCAGGCCAATTCCTTCAAGGACTCACACCAATCAATGAGTTATAGCCCAGCAGAGGAGGGCCTTAGTTTTTACGCAACCTGCGAGCGTGCCTTTAAATTACAAGTCTCAGGATGAATTGGTATATTGTCTAGAGACTGTACCGATTCATCACCTGCATCACACTGGCCTGAGAATGTGCCACTTAAGGGATTCAAAGTTTCACAGGGTAAGAACAATAAGCAGCCAAGTTTGCATATCATGGAAGGAGCATCTGCACTTGAGATCAGAGGACCTGTTGTTTGACCCTGAACTCGTGGCTTAACCTCTCCAGGCTTCAGCTGCTAGCTCTAAAAGCACCACTTCTGATTTTAAATTATTTAAAATAAACATCTATTTAACTATCATTTTCACCTATCTAGTATGTATACAACTCTTAATAGGTGCTGGGGCAGGTTGCATCATTAAAAACTTGTAGCCAAATAGGAAAACACACATGGATTCAAATGACCATATAAAGAAGGCATGAGTGTAAGTGCTATGAGGGGCAGAGCACTCCGAAAGCCCAGAAGAGGGAGTAACCACCACAGGATAGACATTGGAGCCTCGTGGATGTTTGAAGATGGCAGAGAGGCCTTTGAAAGGAGGAGGACATTTACGTTAGAATGACATGTGCAGAGATGAATGTGGTTTGTGTTAGAAGTGTAATATGACTGAAGCGTGGGCTGAATGGTGTAGGAGGGTGAGATGACGCTGGCAAAGTCACTGGAATGAAGTGTGGTGGAGCTAGCGTGTCTGTGAGGAGCCACCTGGTTTCATAGTGGTTATATATTGAGCTGTGATCCTCAAGGTTGGGAGTTCAAAACCACCAGCAGCTCCTTGGGAGAATGACTGGGTTTTCTACTCCTGTAAACAGTTACAGTCTCAGAAACCCACAGAGGGTTGCTATGAGTCAGCGTTGACTCACTGGCAATGAGTTTGGTGTTTTAGTTTTGAGTGTGTCTGGGGACTTTAGAAAGGGGCTTCAGTAGCACAGAGGAAGGTGAACAGAAGGGAGGCGTCAGTCATCAGTAAATGAGTCAGTGAGCTGAGCAAAAGAAAATGCTCATCTGAATTGAAGTGTGGTGGGAGGAATCAACATGATGAGGGACAGGAGAAGTCAAGGTATAGTAGGACTGAAGTTGATGTCAAGGTCCCTTCATTGATGGCTGGCAGACCCATAACATCTCCAAGCAAGACCCAAAGCAAATGGCAGAACTAGGAGTTAAAGAAGACGACTTTGGCGTTTAGTCTGCTGAGTTTGTGTTGCTCACAGTAGGACATCTTTTAAGAGAGTAAACATCTATCTAGAAATTCTAGTCTAGACTTGCCAGTGATCAGAGCTACGGAGACTTGAGACTCAGTATGGCACTGTGCTGTGGTGAAGACCACGGCAAGGTGTTAAGTGCTAGATTCACAGGGGTGGGGGTGGGGATCGATATGTGACTGTAGACAACATACTTAGCCAGTCTAAACCTTTATTTCCCCAGCTTTCAAATGGGGATGATAATGCCTGCCCCATAACTTTATTGCCCCCGCCAAAGGCTTTTGGTTTGTTTGTTGCTTCAGGATTAACTATGATTGATGAGGTGCCTAACATACTGCCTGACATAGAAGAAATGCTCAATAACAATCAGCCGTCGATATTACAGCACTGAAGTTGTGGGAGTAAATGAAATGAGAGTAGAAAGCATATGGCCGGAGGAAGGCCAGGGTCATGTTCTGGTAGATGTCAGCTGAGAACGTCTCTAAGGGTGGGAGGAGGAAAAGGAGCATCAGTGAAGACTATGCTTGGACGTTTTATATGTTAAAGATGTTCTTAACATCTAGACTAGGAGTAGGGAAGCTTTTTTTCTGCCCAGGACCATTGGGCTATATATAGCATCATTCATGAGTCATATTGGTCAGACATTTAATTAATTCATCCCAAAGAGTGATGACTGGAACTGCTTCTCCTTGGTGAGGCGTGCGATGTAGCTGCTGTTGATGATTTAGCGGGCCTTATATGGCCTGAGAGCCAGCGTTCCTTCCCCCCCCCACCCCCCATCTAGACAATAGAGGAGTACAGAGTAAAACTAATGTTTCTCCTCCTCATCCCCCTCTCCAGAAGGAACAAGACAGACAACTTTCCTGTAAAAAAAAGAACAAATGAATAATGCCAGGTAGTGATCCCTGTGGTGACAATAAAAGAGGGTGGTCATTCAATCTGGATGTCCAGTTTCTGAATCCCCAGAATTTAGCACAGTATTTGGCCATAGTACCACTCAAATCTGTCAGATCAGTGAATTCATCACCCCAATACTGGACCTATAGTCCCCACTCATTAACCCCAGAACCAACTTCTGGGCCTCAAGAGGAGTCATCTCCAGGCCTCCCCTCTCGCTCCAGTGCAGAGGCTTACCGCCTGCCACTTTTGTTTGTTTTTGGGTCTGCAGGCCAGACCAGAGTGGTGTGTGCCTGATACAAGTGGCATGTAGTCATTACGAACTATAAGCTGGCAGTTTTCTTTAGCTTCCATACATGTTTCTCTATGGACCTTCAGGTCTGCCTTTGCTACTGCCAGGTCAGAGGCAACCAACTACTGTCTTCACAGATCCCTCCTGTTTCATCGACTGGAAGAAATACGACTGGTGTGTGACACCCCATTTGGATTTCAATTTGGATGGAGGTGTGTCTCGCTCTCTCTGCACAGGAGTGAAGAAACTCGACAAACATCTGAGAAATTCAGGAAAATATGAATAGGAGCTGTCTGTAAAAATAGGGACCCACTGATCCGATGGCCCAGGTTAGGGTGGGAAAGTTTGGCCAAGTTGGGACCCCATTGTAGGGAGACAGGTAGCTATGGAGGCCCCATCAGAATTTGACCGTTCGGCAAGTGAAGGCTGCTGCTTCCCTCACGCTCACTCACTGCTGCCACCTGAACCCTTCATCTGCTAGGGACTTGTTTGGGGGCATTTGTCTGTACCTTAATCTCTGGGGCTTTAAGGGAATAATAACTCCTTTGGACTACAGAAGAGAAAAGATAGCATGTTTCCTAATACAGTGGGGAAATCCATATAAGATTTTGTAGGAAAAAATCAAAACACCACAGAAATGCAAGGCAGAAAGAAATAAACAACGTAATAGAGAGAAACCCATCAAAGCTGGACATCTGCCAGAGAGGGTAGACGCAATGTTTTCCACTGAAACGGGCAGCGAAATGCAGGACCGTACCATGTCAATGGCAGAACCGTGTGAGATCCGGGAAAGCCAGGTGTCCCTGCGGGCTCTACTATGGTCCTAAAAGTGTGAGGGCCTAAGAACCACAGTGTTGTGTGAATTCTGAGAGTTTGATGGTCAATAACTGGATCACCAAATAAAACTAGACAAGAGGAATATGCAACTTCACACTGACATCTCAGAGGTCCACATCTCTGAGCTTGACTAGAGAGCCTGCATTCCATGAATAATCTGTGGTCATGTGAACCCTGAAGGAGGGGACCAGTAGGGCTGTGACTGCTATGGGAAGGTGCAGTCTCCCTCAAAGGGGAGGGTCTATGGGCAGGAGCAGACCCTTCCTCTAGGAGGTCACCCTCAGGGTGAGCTTTTTTCCCAGAAGTGGAAATTATTGCAGAAGGTGACTGAGAGGAGCCTGCCCTGGGACAGGCAGTCTGAGGTAACTGTTTTCCGTGAGGAAAGAATGTTTGTGTTCTTTCAATGGGCTGTTAAGAGGGTCAGGATTTTGTAATAGAGGGTCACTGAGGTGACTCTTCAGGGCTCCCTATCTCTCATTTTTAGCATCAAGCTTGTTGCTTTGCTTCCGATTTTGCCTGGACTTTCTCCGTTAGCTTTAGAAATGACTCAGGTAGAGACTGCATCCCTCGTTACTCCAGAGAAGGGAATCAGGAGCCACGCGGTGGCACTTCGCTGTGAGGACTGGAGTTCAGGACTGTCTCGACTGCACTCTTAAAATGTCCGTGTCCTAGAAAGTTACCACCAGGCGCAGGGTTACTTGGGAACACAGATGTCAGGTAGTCTCCTGGTTAAAGGTCAGCCTGGAACTCGGCCCCACCACTTACTGTCCCATGTTGGGAAGGCCTTTATTTCGCAGAGTGGGGCCTCTTTTCCTTCCTGTGAAATGGGCCTGTGAGTAGCTCCTGCCCCATAAAACCAAAACGAAACCCACTGCCATTTTTAGCCGATTCTGACTCATAGCAGTATACATAGGACAGAGGAGAGTTGTAAATCTTTACCAAAACGAACAGCCTCATCTTTCTCTCATGAAGTGGCTGGTAAATTTGAACCACTGACCTTGACTTAGCAGCCCAACGCCTAACCCACAGCACCACCAGGGCTCCATAGTGCTGCTGTGGAGTCTGCGTGATGAGAAAACAATGCACAAACTCTACTGTGGTTTCTGGTGTCTTGTAAGCAGTCAGTCCAAGTCAGCTGTTACGACTGTCATCACTTGAGTCTCTATCTAACCTCTGCCTGGGCCTAGCAGTACCTAGTAGCTAATGATACCACCTTAGAAAGTTATATGAGGAGCAAATGAACTTGACATATAATTCTTGCTCAGCAAATACAAGAGTGTTGTTTGGTCTGCATTTTACAAGCCCGGTGACTATTGTCCCTCCTAGGTCTCTACTTTTTGTTCTGTCATGTGGCTAGAGAAGCAGCATCAAGAGAAGGTAGTGTTTGAGTTTAGATCTCCTCCTCCCAGATCATCTTTGCTTGGGACCTAAGCTCTTTGATTGGAGGTCTTTGCTTATCTTAAAGAGGAGCCCTAGTGGCACAGTGGTCAAAGTAGTCAGCTGCTAACTGAAAAGCCTGTGGTTCAAACCCATCAGCCGTCCTGTGGTTCAAACCCATCAGCCGTCCCAAGGGAGAAAGATATCATTATGTGTGCCCATAAAGCTGAGTCCTTCCTGGAAAGCCTGGGCCAGTTCCACTCTGACTGCGAGGACTCCCTGGGAGTCAGAATGATTTGGGGGTTGGTATTGAGAATACTGTGTCATTTCTTGTCCTTCTAGATCTGGTGCTTCCCGACATGCGTTGTCAGGCCAAGTCCTGTGAGGGGCGTCTGTCTCAGGATGTGGCCCCACAGGGACAGACTCTGCTGCTTTTCATCTTCGTGGATTTCCACAGTGGGTTTCCAGCCCAGCAGATGGAACTCTGGGGTAGGTATAGGAGGATGGGGCTGCCAGCTCTGGGGTTCTTAAATACTAAGGGAATAAAGAAAGGGAAGTGTTGGCATGGTGCACAGTGCTGAATTGCTGCTATATATAATTCTTGTTTTTTTTTTAATTGTTTGATTAGGGGCTCATACAATTCTTATCACAATACATACATACATCAATTGTGTAAAGCACATTTGTACATTCATTGCCCTCGTCATTCTCAAAACATTTACTCTCCACCTAAGCCCCTGGCATCAGCTCCTCATTTTTCCCCTCCCTCCCAGCTCCTACCTCCCTCATGAACCCTTGATAGTTGATAAATTATTATTTTGTCATATCTTACACTGTCTGATGTCTCCCTTCACCCACTTTTCTGTTGTCCGTCCCCCAGGGAGGAGGTTATATGTAGATCCTTGTAGTCGGTTCCCCCTTTCCACCTCACCCTCCCTCCACCTTCCCGGCAGCTGCTATATCTATTTCTGTAGAGCAACCGTTTCAGTGAAAACCTGGCTTAAATAAATTAAACCAAGGATCTGCTCCATGGACATGATGTATTTATTACATGCCTCACTTTCGCGATGCCATGTCCAGGTTGATTGGCCTGACAAATGCAGCTCCTTCTTACAACACCCTCAACAGTGGTCCTCAGCCTTGTTGTCATTGTGAAGTGCCGCTGGATCAGTTCCAATAGCAACCCCATGTACAATAGAATGAAGCACTGCCGGTCCCGCACCATCCTCACAACCATGCCGACGTTTGAGCCCACCATGTAACCACTGTGATGGTCCTCCTCACTGAGGGTCTTTCTCTTCTTCACTTGACCCTACTTCAACAAGCAGGATGTCATTCTCCAGGGGCTGGTCCCTCTTGATAACTCCTGTATGAGACAAAGTTTTGCCATCCTCACTTCTAAGAAGCATTCTTAGCCTCAGCTGCCCAGTATAATCCCCAGGAACATCTCAAATTGCCCAGTCCTCACTCCAGGGATTCAGATCTCGGTGGACTACATTGGAGATCAGGGGTCAGTACAGGTTCTTTGGAGACCAGGGATCAGTATATGTTGACAGTTTCCCAGATGATGCTGATGTGAAGCCAGGCCTGATAGTGACTTTCCAGGACCATGCTGCCCTTCCTGGCAGAAGCAAGAACTGCAGCCAGCCTGGCCTGGCCTTGGTCCAACAGCTTCGGTGACATGGGGTGCAGTTGGGAATGGCTTTCTGTGGTTGCCACACAGACCCCAGGAAACGGAGAGACTTCCCTTGTTCAGACGCAGTAGAGGTAATGAGCCGATAGAATGTTCTCTCGGTAAAGGTGGAAGCAGTGGTGAAGTCTGGGGTTCATGAGGCACATGCGTCATAAGCACTGGGCTGTTTGCAGATTTGCTGCTTCCTGGCCCTTGACTCTGCAGCAATGTCACCCAAACCCAGTGTGGCTCAGAATCTGCCTTTTTAACAAGATTCCCTTATATATATTAAAGTCTAGAATCTGAGTATCAGCAGGAAATGTATAGGCATTTCAACCCAATCACCCCTGAGACATAAATTTAAGTGTCCCTCAATGCCCTCAATTCTCAGAGGACAGGTAGGAGAAGCAGTGCTCAGCACAGTTTGGGGCCAGGTCATAAGCTTTTCTTCCCTGATGCTTCATGTCCTCCGTTCTCTGGGACCCTAGTCCCGGGCATGGCAGTGCTGTTTGGAGTGCCCCTGCCCCAACTGAGCTGTAGGAAACAAGATGGTGTGCAGCTGTAGGAAATTAGAGTGCTGTGTGCAGTACCACCTTTTTATTGAACCCACTGACCACAGTCAGTTATGGCTGCTCACTGCCTCGCCACCTTCCCCAGCACGTGCTCTTCTCTATGGAGGAGCCCTGCTTTGCTGGGCTCTGGCTCACATTCTTTAGTAGAGGTTCTGGTATTCCCTGGAGAGCCTTGGTGGCACTGTGCTTAAGCATCCATCTGCTAATTAAAAGGTTGGCAGTTTGAACCTATGAACCACTCCATGGGAGAAAAATGTGGCAGCCTGCTCTCATAAAGATGACAGGCTTGGAAACTCAATGGGGCAGATCTACTCTTTCCTGTGGGGTCTCTAAGCATTGCTTAAAAGCTATGGGGCAGTTCTACTCTGTCCTGTATGATTGCTAAGCATTGGGATCTACTCCACAGCAATGGATTTTGGAGTTCCCTGGTGCCCTGAAGTTCCTTTTATTGAATTCATTGATTAGATTCAAACTAAAGAGGCTTCCATCAAGGGGGTCCCAGGGAAGGGGCCTAACACCATTTCCTCACCCATGCTCATGCCTAACCCAGGCATAGTCTAAACAGAGACTTGACTGGATGGGGTGGAAAGGACTTCAGGATAGTGACAACAGACCTGGGTTTAATTTGCTCTCTGCTGCCAACTTCCTGGGGGATTTTTGGAAGCAAGTCCCTTATGATCTCTGAGCCTCCCTTTTCATATCTTTAACACGAGACTGTTAAACTAGATGATATCAAAGACCCTCCAAGTCTAAAGATGCTTGTAAGACTTTAGAGCTGCAGACTGGAGGGAATGTGAGTGCAATCATTCCTCTGTAAGACAACACACAGGCGGGAGGTGTCTTCTGAATTCCCTTAGGTCAAATTCCTTAGAAGCCAGACTGGCCCAGTGTTCCTGTAGCCCGGTGGTCACATGTGCACCTATGCGGGGCAAAGCTCTGAAGGCCTGGGGCTCTCCATAGTGGGTCCATGAAGGGTGCCACTGACCCAGTGACCACGTAACGCCCAGCAGACTCTGCTCACTACCCGGTTATCTATGACCAGCCCCCAATCCACTCGAGGAGCAGGGAGTACAGAAACAGGCCCACCTCTCTCAGATCTGTGGAAGCTCCCTCCAGAGCACTTTCTGGAGGAAACAGATTGTGAAGAACTAAAGTCTGTTTCTTTGCATCTTAAAAAAACAAAAACTACTTCACTGGCCTCCTGCCCACCTCGTCATGGTAACTTTTCTATGATTAATTCGTTCTCTTGCCTCAGCCTTAGAAGCATCTGTCGTGGCAGCCATTTCAGAAAGGAGCGTGGGGCTTTTTCACGAGATGTCTTCTCCAGACGGTAGTGTGGTTCCTGAAGTTCTCTCTGCCGTGCTGTGGAGGGAGGCCATCTGCATCGCCCCTTCTTTACGGACTGCTGGACATTTGTCTCCTGTCAAGAGACGGGACTAAAGGCCTGCGGGAAGGGTCTTGTGCAGATGACAGAAATAGGAAGATACCACCGAGGAGCCACGACTGCCAATTGTCTCTGGCCAACTGACTCCAGGAGGCCTTTGTCAATACTGACTTGAGACACACCACCCATAAACTGCCGTCAGAGCAGGAACCATGTTCTCCTTTAAGCTAGTGGCCTGCCCACTCCAGGCACCTCACACACAGGCCTGCTTACCCACTACCTGCGGGAGCTCAGACATTAAAGCCTTTGCACCAAAGTTGGAAAATGTAAACCGACTTGATCACACTGGCTGGCGGTAGCACTGAGCCTAGGACACATTCAACCCCATGTTCCTGACCCTTCTGAGCTGATCTCGCGTTCCCTTCCCTACCAGGGTGGCACCAGGGGGCTGCTCCTTCTGGCTTCTGTTTTAACACAGTCCTGAGAAAAGTCAGTGGCTGCCTCCCTGGGGGACTTAGCCAGGAGGGACTAGAAAAAGTCAGAACAAAGAATGGGTTCTCTGTAGAGCATTTTCTTTAGCTACCTATTCATTTGTCTTCTGTGCTACTTGTGCCAGGAACTTTAAAGGGAGCCTATTATTTGATGGGAGTCCCTGGGGGTGCAGTCAACCAACCTACTCAATGACTGACAGGAAGATTGGAAGTTAGAATCCTCCCAGAGGTGCCTCAGAAGAAAAGTCTGGCAGATTGCTTCTGGAAATCCCCAGAGGGCACAGTTCCACTCTGACACACGGGATCACCATGAGTCAGAGTTGACTGGGTGACAACCTTTTAAAACTGTTTATTTCATGACATATTTGCCCACAAGAACATGGGTGGTATGGATTTTTTTCTTCTGGCATGATTCAAACAGGACCCCTCACTTGTGTCTGTGCTCGTTTTGACAAAATGTCAAAATAACAAGTAATGTTGTTTTCATCTTCCTGAGCCTCAGTCCTTTCATTTGTCAGTGGGAACTGGGTGGGTTTTTATGTTGCTAGGTTTTCTTGTCTAAGAAAGTAATTTTGGACGCAAGCAGAAGTGACCTTTCCTTCCATAAAATATCTTCCATAAGTAGCAGTCCTGATCGTCACGCAGGTGCACCCTCCCTCCCCGTAGGTGCCCACACTCTGCTAGCAAGCCACCTCAATGCTATCCTCCTGGAGAACCAGCGAGGGATCCGAGGCTCTGTGCAGATGGCCGTGGACCAAGCCCTGGAACAGCAGCAGCATGCTGCCAAGGTAACAGAGGCTTACAGCACCCTTTCTTTACTCCCTCTGTGGAATGGTGAGCCAGCAGCCATGGCAGACAGGGCACACAGCCCTTCCCCCTCACCACCCCTTCAGAGCCCTTCTCTTCTATCATCTGCATGGTCTTGTACCTACCTGTATCCCATCTGTGAGCTTAAACCTTTACTGAGAGGCTCACTCTAGCCAACTTGCTTAGTCTCACCTCCTAGACAATGACTTTTTGTAAATAGGCTAGGATAGAAATGATAGAGAAAAATGACCAGTACACCCTTTCCTTATCTATCCAGCTCCCCTTCCCACACACATTCCAGGGCCACTGATTTACTAACTCTCACATTCTTCCCCCCCTTCTCCAGTGCTTTGTCGCATCACCAGCATCCGCCCGGCTTTCGGAATGCTTCCATCCTGCGTGCTTTGGGGAACCCATTTCTTTCCTCATAAAGGTCCCCTTTCCAGGGAAAAAGCGACCACATTAAAAGAGCAAAACATGAAAGTTGGGTTTGATAGTAATAACCATGTGTGTTTCATCTCCCAGTCTCCTTTTGCTGGTCTTTCCTGGGCATGTCTGCGTCAAAATGTCATCTTTGTGAAAGGAAAGACCATGGCTTTGCTTTCTTTCCCGTCCCAAAGGCCCTGTGCACGTCCTAATTCCATAGGTCCTACTGGTGGAGCAAGAGAGGGGTGAAGCCCTGCTCTGACTGAAGCACACTGGGTGGGTAACTGTACTGCAACAACAGGCTCCCTCCTCTTTATGCTCCGCAGGCTCGTCAGAAACTGCAGGCCTCCCACACCGTGGCTGTGGACTCCATCCTGAGTGTCGTGAGTGGAAGCACTAGCAGCAGCTTCCGGAGGGGGTGTCTCCAGGCCCTTCAGGTGAGCGGGAGGAGGGACAGTCCTTAAGTGCCTGGGTTTGAATGACATCCCAGCTCCTATCTTCATAGAGAGCTACTAGGCCTATAGTATGTGTATTGAGAAATATTTGTGAAATTAATATGGCATATTTACTATTTCATAAGTAAGAAATCCAGCTGTTTAAGATCTCCGCTTCCCTTATGTTCCAATGATTCCCAATTCCTGGTCAAAGGTTGCTACTATCTCCTGGTGACAGAATACTTTGGAAATAACTGAGCAACCACAAGTACTACATGTTTTATGCAGTATGGGATGGTTTAAGAATTTTGGAATCAGAGGCTCGGCCTTAAATCCTGCCTTATTTACTTAGAAGCTATGAGGACATATGTAGGCCTTTTAGCCTCACCTGTAAGTTAGAAAATATAGTAGTACCTCCCGGGCTAATGTGAGGGGAGACATGTAAGCACATGGTAGGTTCTCGGTAAATGCTTATACCTTTTAGAAGTCTGTGCTGATTGACTGGAATTGTCATTGTTTTAACCCATTGATTCCATATCGATTGGTTCTCTTTTTTTGTATTCTTTTTTTCCCTCGTTGTGGAACTAATAGTGGTATATGGTTCGGTACCATCAGTTCGATTCTGACTCATAGTGATGGTATGCACAACAACAAAACACTCCCCAGTCCTGCATCTTCATCTCAGTGGGTACGTTTGAGCCCATAGTGCAACCACTGTGTCAATCCTTCTCACTGAGAGTCTTCCCCTTTGTACATTCTGAGAACTGCCCAAAGTCTGTGAGATGAAGTCTTACCATCCTCCTTCTAAGGAGCATTCTGGCTGTACTTCTTCCAAGAGAGAGATCTGTTTTTCGTTCTGGAAGCCCATCGCACTTTCCATATTCTCCACCAACACCCTAACTCAAATGCATCGGTTCTTCTGCAGTCTTTGTTAGTCATTGTCCAGCTGTCGCATGTGTGTGAAGTGATGGAAAAGCCCATGGCTTGGGTCAGGGGCACCTTAGTCCTCAAAGTGACATTCTTACTCTTTAGCACTTAAGGAGGTCTGGGCAGCAGATTTTCCCACTACAATGTATCATTTGATTTCATGGCCACGACTTCCAAGGACATTGGTTGTGACTTGATCTTGTCTCCATTATGGTGTTGTCTTTTGGTCCAGTTGTGAGGATTTTTGTTTTCTTTACATTGAATAAAGGAGCCCTGATGGTGTGGTAGTTACATGTTGGGATTTGATCCGAGAGGTCAGGAGTTTGAAACCACCAGCTGCTCTAAGGGAGAAAGACAGGGCTTTCTACTCCCATAAAGAATTACACTCTCAGAAACTCACAAGGGTCTTTGTGAGGCGGCAACGACTCCATGGAAGTAAGTTTGAGAGATAGATTGATAGATATGTATTGGTTTTAGAAGTTGCAATCCATATTGAGGCTGTAGTCTTTTATTTTCATCAAGTGTCTTAATTTCTTCTTGCTTTCAGTAAGAGGATTCAAAAGGGAATATGGAATGAGGGATCACATTGCTGACACCAGACGAATCTTGGCTGAAAGGAGAGAATACCAGAAAAATGTTTACTTGTGTTCTATTGACTATGCAAAGGCTTTCACCTGTGTGGTGCATAACATTGCAAAGAATAGGAATTCCAGAACACTTCATGGTGCTCATTTGAAAATTGTACATAGATCATTTGTTTAAAAAAAGAAAAACAAAAAACAAGGGAATACTACACGACTTAAATATGTGTGTGTCAGGGTTGTATCCTTGTACTATACTTATTCATCTGTATGCTGAGCAAATACCGTATATACTCGAGTGTAAGCCGACCCGAATATCAGCCGTGGCACCCAATTTTACCACAACACAGCATTGAAAATGTGCTGAAAAACTCGGCTTATACATGAGTATATACGGTAATTCAAAGAGCTGGACTAAACGAAGAAGTAGACAGGATCAGAATTCAAAAAAGGCTTATTAACATCCCACAGTATGCAGATGAAACAACCTTGCTTACTGAAAGCATCTTTCAAGATGAGCGAGTGCTTCCAGAGCTGCACCAGCTTTTTGAACGATTTCAACTGGTATTCCATCAGTTGGCATTCTTGGAGACTTGCTTTTTACTAACAACTTCAGTGCACCTTGTACTTCTGCCTTCAGTACTATTGGTTTTTGATCAGATTCTGAAATGGTTGAATGTCAACCCGTTCTTTTTGGTAGACCCTGTGTATTCCTTCCATCTTCTTCTGATGTTTGCTCTATCATTAAATATTTTGCTCATAGACTCCTTAAATTTCAGCTTCATTTCTTTCATCTTGAGAAATACACTTTACTTTGTCTTCTCAATGTGCCCTTTGAACCTTTCTATTCAGTGTTTACTTCATCGTTTCTTCCATTTGCTTTTGGTTCAAGAGCAAGTTGCAGTCTCTTCTGACAGCCACTTTGATCTTTTCTTTCTTGTCTATTTAGTAACCTTTGCTTTCTTGTTGAACACATAGATACACACAAAACTTAAAATAGTAATTAATATTATCACTGTAACTTAGCATTCTGCATATATATTATAACCAAAGCATTCTTTTTCCATATATAATCCAACATTTTCTCTCAACAGTCTTGGAATTTTGTACTGGTTACACAATAGTCCACTGTGTTGGTTTAGGATAATTTAATAAACCATTCCCTTAACTTGAAACATTTAAGTTGCTTATGATTTTCCCCCATAACAGATGGTGCTTCAATTAATATCTTTTTATGGTATCGTGCCTCTCTTGAATTATGTCCTAGAATAAATTTAAGTGCAGTTGCTGAGTCCAAGAGTATAAAAACGTTGATGAGCCTAGTGCATTTTATTTTAGCGTCTACTTCTTGTGGCAATGTGAGTAGTGAGGACACCAACCTGGGAACCCCAAGGTCTGCATTGTCACCCTAATGATTGTGCTCACTAGCTGTGAGAGCTTGGGCGAATCACTTCTTTCTCATCTATAAATTAGTGTTGTATTAGGTGGTCAGTATGACTTTTTTTTTTTTTTTTTGCCAGGAGGACAGACAGCGCTGTCCTGGCTCTCTTTATTTTTTTCTTATGGTTTTATTAGGGGCTCATACAACTCTTATCACAATCCATACATGGTGACCCACATGAGTCAGAGAAGAGTCATGCTCTGATGGTTGTGATCTTTGACCTTTCTTCAGAGCTGACACTTTTGATTGGTTGCCAAGCATTTATCTATTTATGCCACTCAGAGGCACAGCAGGTGAATGCTCTGGTCCTCATCCCCCACTGCTCTGGATTAAGCAGAAGGTTGCCCACCTTCCTTGGGGGTTGCAGAACATTGACTTGCTCCTTTCCTCCCTAAGAAGCTCATCTAAGGGAATGGTCTCTTGTCAGCTCATTCAGGGAACTCTGCTCTCCTGGACTTGTAAGGGGAGCAATCTACATGAGCCTTCTGGATAGATTTCTGGGGTATTTGCCTCCTGTCCAGCTAGAAGAAAGACCTGTGTAAAGTGTCTTGCTTACATGACAAAACAAGATGACTTACAGGAGCCACAACTACCTGTCTCAGGCTGTGTCCCAGGCTGCTTTTCTACTCTCCTTCCTCTATAAAGGAGTCCTGGTGGCACAAGTGGTTAAGCACTTAGCTGCTAACCCAGAAAGGTCAGCCGTTTGAACTCACCCGCTGCTCCATGTGAAAAGATGTAGCAGCCTGCTTGCTTCCATAACATTTCCAGCCTTGGAAACCCTGTGGGACAGTTGTACTTGGTCCTATAGGATCAGTATAAGTAGGAATTCAACTCCGCAGCAGAGGGTTTTCTAGATGCCTTTATAAAGACTAAGGACACTCCTCACAGCATGTGGTGGGCCTGGCCATTGCCTTCCTAGATGCCCCTTCCTCTCCCCATATTTACTGCCTGGGTCTCCAGCACTGGAGCTCAGCAGGTCCTTGTCTCTGGCCCATCTTAGGCCGCTGATACACAAGAGTTTGGGACCAAACTGCACAACGCATTTAAAGAGATCACCCAGCACCGATTTCCTTACCACTGCTCCTGTGAGATAAGGCAGGTAAGTGTGAAGTCACACTCCGAACCTTGGTGGGAATGCTCCCTGTTGCTGGAGGGGAGCCTGGGAAAGTGTGGTTGCTGCGAGTGCTGTAGATTTTTCAGTCTGAGGTTGTGAGCTTGCATTTCAGCAAGGAAGGCTGTAGTGTGAACTTCATGGACCACAGTGCTTCATTGTGGTTAGGAAGGTGGACTTGAAGCCCACCTCTGTCACTAAACAGTGGTGTGACATTACTGCAGAAGCTATTTAATCTCAGGGGCAATCATCAGTGATGATAAAGAATGCATACCTAAAGATGGTTGTGAAGTTTGAAGAAGATAACGTATGTAAAGGGCCAAGAACACAGCTCTTCTAAGGGTGAGGATAGGATGGAATTCTCAGGTTGAGTCTTGCCTAATGAGCAACACAATGACAAAGAGGCAAGAGATTTGAACACATACTTCACAAATGAAGACATAAGATGGGAAAGTACTGCATGACAAGATGCTCAACATGATTAGTCTTCAGGTGAATGCAAAGGTAAAACCACAAGGAGATATCATGCCCCACCCACGAGGATGGATAAAAATTCAAAGGCTGATCATACCAAGTGTTGGCAAGGGTGTGGAGGCAGTGGAGCTTTCAGATCCCGTTTGTGGCAATGAAAACTGATACACCACTTTGGAGAAAAGTTTGGAGGTCTTTTTAAATTTCATTGTGGTAAAATACATTTAACAGACATTTTCTATTTTAGCCATTTTTAAGTGTACACCTCAGTGACATTCATTACATTCATCATATCGCACAGTAATCACCACTCTCCACTGCCATCTCCCTAAAGCAGCTCAGTGGCCTTGAAGCAGCAACCCTCCATCTGCCCATATTCCCAGCCCCTGGTAACCACTGATAAACCGTGGTCTCGATGCACTGTTCTAGGTATCTTAGGTAAGCAGGATCAATATTTGCCTGCAGTGAGATGGGTCACTTTCTCATCATGGTCTTATGACTCCCACCAGGTGGTAGGGTCGTTGTTATTATTAGGTGCCACCAAGTCAGTTCTGACTTATAGTGACCCTATGTACAACAGAATGAAACCCTCCCACACACACCTGCCCCAATCCTGTGCAATCTTCACAATTGTTCTTACGTTTGAGCCCATTGTTGTAGCCACTGCGCCAGTCCATCTTGTTGAGGGCCTTCCCTTTTTGAACTGACCCTCTACCAAGCATGATGTCTTTTTCCAACGACTGTCTCTCCCGATAACATGGTGCTTATGGCCCACCACTGAGATGGACAGTTTGCTAAATAATGCAAATAACATGCTTAGCAACCTTGTGTAGGTGGGACCATGCAAATAAGCCATGTGGAGGGATTGGTCCAAATCCCTAGGGAAGAGATTGGTCAGTTTAACTGTTCTGCTGGGCTGAAACTGAGGCATCCCAGAGGCATAAAGTGGAGAGGGACTCACTACCACCAAGAAGAAAAGATAGGAGTGGAACACATCCTTTGAATCTGGGGTCTCTACACTGAGAACCTCCTAAACCCAGGAGACAGAGCCATAACCCTGCAAATGGTGCAAGACAGCAAGCAGCAGAGGGAGAAATGGCAGCAGCAGCAACAGGAGGGTTGTGAGGTGGCACCATGGGCTGTGCCAGTGGGCATGAATGAGCTGTCTCATGGAGCGAGAGACAGTCCTGGATTACTAGCATCATGGAGGCCCCTGGAGACTTTTTGGCAGAGCTAAAGGCTTTTGTAACACTTGCACTAATAGGGCAGAGGCTAGGCTGAGGGCCAGAGAGAGGCCTGCCTGCAGGCATAGCTGAGAAAGGCTGTTCAGATTGAAGAACTGTATCCTGAGTCATTCTTGATCCTGACTGAAACCTGTTGCTTCCCTAATAAATTCCATTCATCTGAGTATGTTGAGTTCTAAGTGGCAAAGAGTTATTGAACCAGCAGAGACAGAGAGTGCTGTGGGAAGGACAGCAGGTGTCAGGATTGGTGACAAGGCTGGAGAGAGGGTTTGTTGGACCTCTGCCTGATAGGAATCCATCTTGATCCTGGTTTTCCTCCCTCCCTTGTGAAGTTAGTGGAGGTCAGACACTCCTTCATTTCTGCATTGTCTTTTCGTTTCTGATGTATTTTACTCAACAGACTGGTATACAAGCTGTATCCAAATTTTCCTTTTGTCTGAATAGTTATTTCATTGTATGAATCAAACACGTTTTGCTTATCCATTTATCTGTTGATGGACATTTGGGTCCCCCCCCCCCCATTGGCTATTTGTGAATAGTGCCGTTGTGTTAGTCTAGGTAAAGTAGAGAAACAAATCCATGGACACACATCTGTGTATAAGAAAGAGGTTTATATACAAGAGCAATTGAACATGGAGAAAACAGCCCAGTCCAGATCAAGTTCATAAGTCTGATATTAGCCCATATGTCCAATCCCAATCTATAAAGTCCTCCTCAGACTCATGAAACACATGCAATGAAGCTAAATGCAGGACGATCACACGCCGGTGGGTAGAAAGCCTTTGGGTCCAGTCGCGTTGTAAGCATCTCAGCGCTGGCAGGGGTCTCTCTGTGGCTTCTCCAGCTTCAGAGGTCTGGTTGCATCCACGTGGCTTGTCTTCTGCAAAATATCTCCCAGGAAGTGGCAGAGAGAGAGAGAGAGAAAGCAGTGTCTTCCACCTCCAAGGAGGAAGTTCCAGATTTCCCAGAATTCTCAGAAGGCCATGCCCACAGAAGTCTCATTGACTATCTCCAGATTGACACCTGGACTCCACCCCTACACTCTGAATTCTTACCTCGACACCAGATTAGGTGACTACCACAGCCATGAACATTGGTTGTACAAGTATCTGACCGCATCCTTGTTTTCAAGTATTTGGGGCATATAACCAGGAATGGAACTGCTGGAGACAGTTACGTATCCACTTGTCATCTGACCTAACTCAAGAAAAATAAAACATCTGTGCACACTCAGACTTGTGTGTGGTTGTGTCCACAGCACCACTATTCAGAATCATTCCAAACTGGAAACCATCTATGGCACCAGATAAGTCATACAGTGGACAGAGTGAACTACTGACACACTCAACACAATCTCCAAATACTTACATGGAGTGAAAACAAATCCGAGCCTCCCCCCTCCCCAAAATTGTTTGTTCCGTTTATAAAAGTCTTTCATCTTAGTTACAAAGAGTAGGACAGTGGTTGTTTAGAGGTGGGAAACCAAAAAGGCAGAAGGGAGAGATTACAAAGGGCAGGAGGAACCTTTTGAGTATAATTGATGTGTTCATTATGTTTTGATGATGGTTTTACAGTGTGTGTATGTGCATGTGTAAAAACTTAGCCAATGGTACATTTCATATACTTGTGTGTGCCATTATTATATATCAATTATTTCAACGACATTCTTATAAAAGAAGGTTGGAGATGCTATCTTTGGGATATTAGCAGAGCCTTCCCCCCTTTTATTCATCTTCTCTTCATCTCCCACCTTTGTCTTCCCGACTAAAAGGACCGCTCAGTGACAGGCGCCTGAGGATCATGGTATCTCGTGATGTGTCCATCCGCCTCTGCTTTGTGGCTAGACAGGCCCAGGGCTTCAGTGAGATCCTTGGAACTACCGGCTTCCCCGTGGCCTTTCTCACTGCTACCTAGGTTTCTAGGAGTCTGTCTGCTGGTCCCTCGCCTGGCTCACTGCAAATGCTCTTACCATTTTACTCCAGTATGGAGTGATCTGCCCATGGTCTTTCCTTTAACAAGTAAAAGCTAATAATCAGGTACACCTCCAAGTTTCTAGGATGGAGGGGTGGATGGATGCCGATGGATGTCATCTCTCTCAGGGTGTCCTTATATACAACAGAGCTTTGCCTAGTCCTGCATCATTCTCACAATTGTTGGCACCTTTGAGTCTGCCATAAATAGCTGTCGTGTCTATCCACCTAAGGTCCTTTGCCCTGCTGGCCTTCTACCTAAGCATGCTGTCCTCCTCCCTTGACTCAACCTTTCTGATGATGTGTCCATAGCAAGCAAATCTATTCAGTTGTGATCCAGAGGGGGTTATTGGGTGGTTTTCAAAATCAGATTCTTCTTGTCTGTCTGGATCTAAAAGCCGCACACAAACCTGTCCCCATGGATGACCACACTGGTATTTTAAAACACAAGGCCAACTCACCAGTGGAGATGAGTTCAGGGATGGGTGCCGTTATCACAGGGACTAGCATACACAGGTGGAGAGAGAGACCCCGAGATTCTAGGAATGTTTCAGCCTCCAAAGTACTGCCAGTTGGCCCTGTCTGATAACCCAGTGAGATTGCACAGGGAAACGGTCTGAACTCTTTTGTCCCAGTTTGTAGCTCCAAGCCTCAGGACCATTTACAACCCAATTAACTTGGCAGATGGCTGGATGAACTCAAAATCTCAGGCAGGACTAGGGAGGAACAGCTATCGAACTCCTCATTGTTGCCAAGTTTTTCACTTTAATCTCCATAGATTCTATAACGTAGTTTTCCCTTTTCACAGATCAGAAAAGTGGTTGAGAGAGCTTTCATAATCAAACCAGAGTGACGGCAGGAAATGGTGGGCTGGCTTTTGTTCTGAGTCCTTTGGCTCTGAGGTCTAGTGACATTGTTAACATATGGGCCAGGTCAAGAGCCCAGGGGCACTGAGTGGAACCCCAGCTTCTCTAGGCAACATCCTCATTTCCCTGGTGGTGGCTATTTAAGGTGATCGACTTGCTAATGGCTCAAGGGCGGCACCCAGCGGCTTCAACTAGAAATGACAAGGTCAAGGATGGGAGGTCCAGTTTTTGGCCTCAAGGCCAGTCCCTCAGTCTCCATTCCAAAACATAAGGGCAGCAACACTGATGCCAAGGGACAGAGAAGTAACCAAGATTTGCCACAATCTTTTTTCCAAATTGGCAACACCACTTCCCTGTCTGGCTCACTGTGGGGTGGTCCTGGCTTCCCCATGCCCTGCCTGGTGCTCTCAGTGGTTTTATTATTACTGATTGTCACACAATATTTCCTCCTCGTCTGTGGGTTAATTTTCCACCTTCTGGATAGTGTCCTTTGAAGTGTGTGTGTGAGAGAGTGAGAGGGAGGGGGGGAGAATGAATGCAAGTGAGCAGCACCTGCAGGGTGTCCATGGGCCTCTGTTTTGTCTACTCGGAGTCTGAGGACTGCCACGTGTTGAGCGTGGCATCCAGGTGTGTTTTGCTAGTACTTACTCTGTATGAGGAGGGAAGCTGCAAAGAGGGGAAGGCACTCAGTTTACCTGCCTGCCTTCCCAGTGTCAGGAAGAGGGGTGCACAGCTGATGGAACTCCAGCTCAGCATCAGAGCCCCAGGGGCCACGGGCCAGTGATGAGCACCCCATTGGGCTGCTGAGGAAGAGGAGAGGGGTGTAGGGGAGAGGAGCACCTGGAAAGCTGGGCTTGTTATTCATCTCAGTAAAGGGAGCCTTGGGATTAGGCAGGTTGGCCTCTGAGGCTAGGGAGGTCGGCAACTAAGCCATGCCCACCTCCGAGGACAGAATCTTACCTACTTCTGTAACTCTCCCAATCCTCCAGCAGCTGCCCTCTGAGAAAACGGCCAGGAGCCACATGGAGGCACGTAGAAGCCACAGCCCGGAGCACCTGTCAGGTGAGCCCTGACCATCTGGGAAGAGCCTTCAGCCTCTCACCCTTCCAGCTTCTGCCCCTCCCTGCTGAACAGTTTTTCTTCTGGTCCTACCACCCCTAGGGGCCTTCTGGGATGGCAGCAGGCTCCCCTCCCCCAAGCTGGTCTGATAGGACTAGAATTTTCTAAAGTAGTTCTAGTTACAGGTAGCTGCACACGATTGGGGTAAAGCCCTGAAAGCGGTGGGGTTTTTCACCTCTTTTCTTGGTCACTAGAGCTGATGCTTGCAGTCTGCTGAGAGTTACGAAGTGGGGAGTGTGACCCACCAGCAGCTGTGGAGAAAGGACTTGGCAGCCTGCTCTGCAGAGTACAGCCTAGCAGACCCACTGGGCATTTCGGTACTGTCTTCCTGGGCTCCGAGTTAGGACACCCTGCCACCAAGAGCAAGGCTGTGGTAGCTCTACCCCATTGGGCTAAGAGGTTGCTGCAGGGTGCCCATGGAGCCTCAGCCTCAATTGTCATGGGGAAGGTGTGTGAGATAGCTTTTCTCCATACATACCCACCCCCACCCCACCTAGCAGAGGTAGAATGGACAGCCATAGGCAGCTACAAGGCCTGGCAGTCTCCAAGCAGGTCTGCCTTCTGACGTGTATTGTTGCTCTGAGTTTACATGGAGGTGGATGAGGTCTCAGAATCATTATTCTCAGTTTACAGGTAAGGAAACTGAGGCCAAGGGTCACACAGTTAGTAAAATAAATGGCAGCGCCATTTCTCAAATTCAGGCAGTTTAGCCCCAGCAGGCAGTCCACCCAGACAGAGGCTGGGCCAGGAGTGGGAGCTGGGACTCCTGCACCTAGAGTTTTATGGGTAAAGCCACTAAGGCCCAAGATGTGCTCCCAAACCAAACTGCAGATGTCACGGGTGGTGGGGTGGTGGTGGTGTGGGTGTGCCCCTTAGTAAGATCATGCAGTGAAAGCTGCTTGTATAAAGCAAAGATCTATTTTTAGAAATTGAGATTTGGGGATTCTAAAAAAAGGGAAAGTACGTCTGTCTGTACCATCGTCAATTTAGTATTTATGTGCACTGCCCTGAGCACCTGCAGTTGGGTGGGGTGTAGGGGACGGGGCAGGGATGGGCAGCAGGCAGTATTACAGCTTTCTTTAAGCAGCAGCAGCATCAACGACTGTGTGTCTTCAAGCCAGGTGTTTGTACTCTATTGGGTTCACCAGTCCTCAACTCCTTCAAATCCGCTGCTCTGCTGAAAACCCCTGGACTTCACTGGTTTGAAGGGCCTTCAGTTGTCAATCTTGCTTCTCCTTGGTGGCTGCTGTTTTTCTACACTTCTATCATCTGCCTCCTGGCTCCATCCTCAACTCCCCACTCACTGACCTCTCCTTTTCATAACCTGGCCTTCCCTATAGGCCCGCGTCAGCCTGGCCGGTTCCAGCTGCTTCCCTGGAGCATGCTTGTGTCAGTGTCCCTTCTGCCTCTCCATCCTCTTCCGAGTAAGTCACTCTAATTCTTCAAAAGGAAAAACGTCCTCGCCTGTTTAGGGTGATGAAAATTTTGGAAACACGTGATGGTGGTACAGCACGGTGACTATAGCTAATGTTGCAGAGTCGTACCCATGGAAATGGTTATATATCTATATATGTATATAACTATATAGAATTGTTTATGCGTGCCATGGAGTCCATTCTGATTCACAGTGACCATATATATGCACAAGAGAACAAGACACTACTGGGCCTGCACCTCCCTCACGCTCACTGTGATATTTGAGCCCACTGTGGCAGTCATCTTGTTGAGGCTCTTCCTTGTTTTCAGTGACTCTACTCTATCTCCAACATCTTCATTCAAATGCATCCATTTTTCTGTGGTCTTTTTATTCCTTGTCCAGCTTTCCCATAAATGTGAGACAACTGAGAATATCATGGCTTAAGTCTGGTGCCCCTCAGTTCTCACAGTGGCACCTTAGCTCTTTAACACTTTAAAGAGGTCTTGTGCAGATTCGCCTAGTGCAGTACCCCTGTGGTTTCTTTCTTTCTTTTTTTTTGCTTTTAAGTTCCTTAATCTTTTTATTTGTTAAGACATGGGGGGCGGGGGATACCAAAATAGCAACAAGAATGAAGCAATCAGTAGCTTGCTGTCTTAGAGCTGTGCTCCACAGAGTTCTATTTTTTTAAACAGTTGTATTGGCATTAGCCACACACCATACAATTCAATAGTTCAATCACATCAGTAAGAGTTGTACAGTCACTGCTACAATCAGTTTTAGAATATTTTTTCACTCTTGTACTCATCATTAGATCCCCATTTTCCTCCAACCTCCCCAGCCATATCTCCAAGGATTCATTAATCCAGTTACTATCTCTGTAGATTTACCTATCCTGGATTTTATATAGAGGAAAACAAACAAACAAAATAACAAAGTAAAACAGATTGAAACCTCAATAGCAAAGAAAGCAGAGAATATTAAAACAACAGGACACTTAGGAGCCAACCCCTACAGGCACAAGAGCACATTTATGAGGAAGTCTAAGAGTCCTGGTGGTGTGGTGGTTACACATTGGGCTGTGATCGATTGGGTGGCACTTGAAAACCACCAATAGCTACTCAGGAGCAAGACTGGGATTTCTATTCCTGCTAACAGTGACAGTTTCAGAAACCCACAGGAGGTTGTTTTGAGTTAGCATTGACTCCATAGCAGTGACTTAGATCACCAAGTCATACTTCTGAAGGGCCCCTGGGTGAACTTGAACTTGAACCTCAGATTTGGTTAACAATCCAGTATATTAACTATTTATACCACTCAAGGACTTTATTAGACTGATCTTAAATATTTCTTTCAATTCTAATATTCTATGATGCTAGTCTAATATATGTTCATTTTTGTTAGCATATTATCCCTGTAGATTATTTTTTAAATCATTTTATTGGGAACTCTTACAACCCCTGTGGTTTCTTGATTGCTGCTTCCATGAGCATTGATTGTGGACCCTGGTAAAATGAAACCCTTGGCAACCTCAGTGTTTTCTGTTTATCATGATATTACCTATTGGTCCAGTGTGAGGATTTTGGTTTTCTTTACATTGAGTTGTGATCTGTGCTTCTTCTAATCTTCCTCATGTTCAGGAAGCAAGGTTGTGTCATTTGCATATTGTGGGTTGTTAAGGAATCTTCCTCCAGTCCTGATGCTGTGTTCTTCAGATAGTCCAGTCTCTGGAATGATTTGCTCAGTATACAGATTGAATAAGTATGATGAAAGATACAACCTCATGCATACCTTTCCTGATTTTAAAGAGAAAGAAATGATAAAAAGACCTGAACAAATTATTTCAAAGGGCAGCTCCCAAAGACAAACATATAGTATCATAATGAAATGTGAAAAGACCTGGAGTTTTAAGAATCAAAAGGAAAGACTATGCTCAGTATTTCTTAAGCTAAAACAACTGACAGAAAACACTAAAGTCTCAAGTGCAGTATTGAAGGATTCTATGGGCAAGAAGCACACAATCTGAAAAATTAGTTGAGTTCTAACTATTTCACAAGGTAGCCATGCCTAGGAATTCAGAAAACAGCTACCAAGCTGACCCAACTGCAAGAAAGCTGTTTGTGCCCCACCAAAGGCAGGTGAACCAGCAGAGGACACACACTTTTAACCATATCACTAGTATCAGACACAAGTACAATTTTACTGAAGGCAGTTTTAAATTGTTACAGTAGTACGCTGACAGGAAGCTGCCAGAAATTTACGTCAGATTCAAATGAGAACGTGGAACAAGGACTATCACTATGATGTCAGATGGCTCTTGCTGAACAGAGAATACAAGAGGTTCCCTTGTGTTTTATCAACTTTGCTATTTACAGCAAAGGTGGTGTGGAACATAACAAATTACGGATTAACACTGCACAGAATGGGAATTCTAAGATACATACTTGTGTTCATGCACAACCTGAGCAAAGGCAAGAGGTAATTTGAGCGGAGTAAGAGGCTACGTACTGATTTCTACACTCAGTGACAACATCAGGAAAGGTATGGATCAGAGTTGTATCTTTTCATCTCAGCTTGTGCAGTCTGCAAACCCTCTGAGAAGCTGGACGATATGCAAAACGGGGCTTCAGGGGTAGAGCAAGACTCAAGGGGTTGCTATGAACCAGAACTGGCTTGATGGCATCTACCAAAAACTATATTCAAGGGCAAGTTTCAGAGTTTCTTCTGACACCCATTTCATTTTTATCATGACCCAAAAAACCTCCCCAAAATAAAGGGTCTGGTAACCAAGAAACTTCCTCCACCCATTCCCATTCAGCTTAATTTTCAAGAACGTGGAGCCCAGCTCCCTGTCCTGCTCATTCTTGCCCTCACTTGGTGCAACCAGATGGACTCCAACTGCAGGGTCTCTGTTCAGGAGGGTTCCTTCACACCTAAACTGTGTACTTGTCTTCACCACACCTGCCGCCGCCGAGCATGGCACTGCCCGAGGGATGCTGGCTTTGGTTGTAGCACCTCAGCTTCCACCGTTTGACTTCCAATTCAATCAGCCACTCTCCTGCCCTTCCCCCCAGCCGCTGCTTAGCATGAGTCCTCAGACTCCTCTGGTATTTGCATAGAGCGCAGTTTCATGCCCTTCCAATCCCGTGCCTGGTTGCCAGGTTTCATAGTGGGTTTTGAGTTGGGGTGGGACCGCAGGTTAGCAGATCTCAAAACAAAACAAAGCAAAACAGCTAGCTGCTCTGAGAAGGCCTAGTCTCGGACACCTGCGAGGGAAGTTCTAGTCTGAGCTCTGTGGAGGCACTATGAGGCAGTTCTGGTTCAAAACTCAGATCCAGCAGCTGCTCAGGGAAAGCTTGCTTCACCGCTCTGGGCTTGCACACCTGCAACTCGCCCAGGGCGCATGGATTAATGTTGGCTGAGTTCAGATTAGCACAAGGGACCAAGTGGGCACAAGGATGGTCGCCCAGGGGACTGACTGCCCAGCACAGCGGGAGCCACAGAGGGGAGGGCCTGCTAAGAGGACCTGTGGGCGGAACTTGGCAGTTCCAAGACGGTGAGGTCGGCGGCTCTGAGAGAGGGGAGTAGGTTCGGCCCATCCCCTATGGCGCTTTCCAGACCCGGCTGCAAAGCAGCGCCGGGGACCAGGAGGCCAAAGTGGATCTGCAGCCTCGGCTGGGTCCTGAGCGGCCGGCGGGCGGGTGTGACCCTAACATCCTGATACAAGGTTCCAAGGAGGGAGGGTGGAGCGCTCCGGCTCTCGGCGGGACGTCCTCCCGGCGCGGACTAAGGAAGACACGAGGCGAGCCTGTTTCCTCCTAGAGACCACCGAGCGGGCGAACAGCAAGAGACGCAAAGGCGGCGTGGAGGAGACGCGAGCCTACAGCTCCACGCCGTCCGCCCCGGGCTCCAGCGACAGGGCGGCCCGGGAGCAGCAGGGGAGGGTCCGGGCGCCTAGCAGCGCCGGCCCCGGGAGCGGCCTGGAGGTAGCGGAGGAAGGCGGGCGGGGGATGGGGTGCGTTCTGGGCCCGCGGGTGCTCATGGCCGCTTCCCTCTACAGGACGCTCTGTGGCTGCAGGAGGTCGCCAACCTGTCCGAGTGGCTGGGCGCCGAGCCTTGAGCCATCTGCAGGGAGCCCTGCGCCGCCCGCCAGCTGCGCCCCAAACCCCCTCTGCGCGCGCAGCTTCCTCGTCCGGGTGGGGCGAGGGCCTCACGTCACTGGTGCTTCCGGCGGGT